TTAAAGCAGTCCGTCTAGCAGAAATGTATATGAAGAATAACACGTTGGTCATAGTTTATCAATAAGATAATAGCTATTTTCCTTATCACGTGCTACTTTCTCAGATGAATTTAGAAAAGTTATCTGTGTAGCATTTTATCTTCTTAATGTCCTATTTCAATGTATCTTATCTTAATATTGACTTTATGCCTGAATTATTTTTATCTGTCTAACCGACGGGTGCACTGTAGGTGGCGCTATTTTCTTCTTTCTGGACGACTATTGGATTGGAAGATGCTATGCCCAGCACAAATGTAACTCTCTTTATCTTATTTTCCTGCAAGTTTTTAGAAGACATTAGATTTTATTATTACAAACATTTTCTAGAACAAAGAGTGTCAGATTTGCTTGGGTTTTTACTTTCTTACGCAGTTCTGAAGAAAAGTATATTTTTAATGCATACAATACAATTTGCTGAACTTAAATTCCACACCTCAAAAATGGTAACAGCAAGTCAAGAACTGAGTTGCAAACCTAGTCAAGCATTAAAAATTATTATTTATTAATTAAATTTTTATTAACATTTTCGTAGAATTTTGTGTTACTTGTTAAGTTGCAGTAAAGAGCTAAGACTCGCAGGTCCTTGGCATGCAAATATACTTCAACCAGCTAGCCACGCAGGGCTTCGAGAGGCAAGTCAAACAGTTAATGGAAAACAATCTATACTGTGCATCATAAATATCGTGAAGGTTACAAACCAACAAATATGGCAAATCAAAGCATAACAACCTATGTTTAGGTATTATTGGCAGTGTCATGGTGTAGCCTATAGTGTCTTGTATTAGCGTACTGTTACTTGTTTTCGATGTAACCTGAGTTAGTGATGTAGCTCCTATGTCCAGACTCCCAACCATAGGCGTTCCCCCTGGCACTGTAGACCCGCCCACCTCTGGGACTTGCTGCCTGCTTGGTTCTTGTGTGTGTCCCTCGCCCCTGGTATGTGATGGTGTAGGCATGGGCGGTGGGCCAGGATGTAAGAGCGTCGGTCATCATCCTGGCTGGGCCAGCGACCCGGGGTTCCTGTCTGGGTCAATGCCTGGGTGTCTTCTTCCCCACTCCCCGTGTCATCCCCCTGTCGGCTATATGTCAGCATGCTTCGGAAATCTGTGCGGTATGCTTCTACTAACCAATGAGTCCTTATGTCTAGGTACGTTTGTGGGCGGCACTGTGTTGTGAACGTTGTCTTCAAGTCCTCGCAGTTCCTCCATTTTCTCAAACCAGGTCATTAACGGGGGGGGGGGAGGGGGTGTCTGTCTTCCAATATAGGGGCAAGATATGTTTTGCTGTGTTCAGTATCCATATAGTCAGAGATTTCTTATATTTGGTTGTCGGGGTCGTAGTGTGGTGTAGGAGGTATGCGGTAGGTTTGGCATTAAAAATTTCTACTTTATCAACTCCATTATTTTGCCCTAAATATTTACAAGCCATAGGTCAAGAATGCATTGGAACACTTTTTTTTGTGAATACTGGGTGTCAGATAGGCAGGGAATGTAACATTGTAGCGTGCTAGGAGCACCCCAGCCCCTCCAAAGTGTAAGCGATCAACCTTTTCGCTAATGATTTGATTACTTACATTGGGGAAAAGCTGGGTACTCCTGGCACCACAACCGCTACAGTATGCTAACGCGAAAGTAAAAATTCGGGTTAAGAATTAACTCAGTGTGACATTTGCTGCGCAAGTTTCAGTAGCAATAGAGAATTTTTAAAATTAAGATTTTTTCCTTTTATTATTTTAAATCATTTATTTTGATTATTTTTTTTAATAGTCATATAATACATTAAAAATAAAGGGCTCATTGTTTCTCTTAAAATCTATGGTTATTACAGTTATAAGAGTAGATTAGCTGGTTTAGTTAGTTACTTTATGATGTTGTAATTTAATTTCATTACTTTATGAGATTATCTGAATACAAATTGTTGTGCTTTGCTACACTGGTATACACTCTTTATGTTAAGTCTCAAAGCTACAATTTAACTAAAAAAATTCAAGAAAACAATATCAACTCAAACCGTGGAAGGAATTGTGACTAACTAGTTGTATGTAAAATATGAACTGCTCCATGTGAAATATCGTAAGTAGTGATGTCGCGAACGGTTCGCGAACTTCCCGCGAACGGCTTGCCGCGGCCGTTCGCGGGAAGTTTGCGAACGGTTCGCGACATCACTAATCGTAAGTTGTTTACTTATAATGGAGTCAGTATAGGAATGGCATTCTGCTAAACCGACCTAACTTACACACGCGGCAACAGAGGAATCTATAAAAATTCCAAGTTTGAATACTAAATAACGTCTGTAGCTTGGCCTTGTGACAACACAAAAATATGGCAAACTTGACAAATGGAAGTTCTTGTTTTTGATGAAACAGCTGTATATACATTTATTTTTCTGCATAAGTTCTCTTTACTTACACAAAATGCATTGGAACAACGTAAAGTGCGTGTGAGAAACAGTGCTAAAAGCAGACGCGGACTTTGGCAGAAATTGGTGGTAACATGGCCACATGTAAATGACCCGCAATTTTTACTTCTTAAAACTACATACATTTTAGAATAAAAATTAAACTGACTTATATGAGACATTATTCTGTTAGCATTATTAATGTTTACAACGTTGTAGAAAAACAACTTTAGCTTAATGAAGCAGATGTGGTGTATAGAGTATGCCCCTGCAATCTAACTACTCAATTATCTGCCATTTATGAGTTAAATTATTTTTGTTTCTGTTTATGCAGCCTTATCCACACCTCCGCTGGTTGTGACTCACACAGCCTGCATGCCAAAAATGGTTTCATTTTCAATCCGATGTTGACTCGCATTAGAAGTTTTTATCTTCTAGTCTGTAAATTTAACTTTAATCACACACAGGGGGCTCCTGCAGGGTCTAGAACAGTGGTTCCAAAACTGTGTGGCACACAGGGGAGCCGTAAGATATTTGTGCCTCCCTCTCTCCTGCCGGCTCTGCAGGACCAGAGGGGAGATCAGAGATCAGGGAAGGGAGGGAGAGAGGATGCAGGGGAGCTCTAACCTGCAGCTCCGCCGGGTCCTCCTCTCGTGAGCTCGGAGCATTGCTGCGGTTACCACAGCAACGTTCCGAATCTCGCGTGAGTGAACTCTAGCAGCTCATGAGGCTGCTAGAGTTCACTGTCACCACTGGGACCACTAAAGGGTTGTAGTGGTTATTGTGCCTGGATTGTTTCTTTAAATAATGTACCAGTGCCTCTCCCGAGATTAGGTTCTGGATCTGCGCTCGAACAGCAAGCATTTCTGCCGAACAGGGGCCCAGTTTATGCCGCTGCGCTGTTCATATATACAACCTAGAAAATTATTTTAACTTGGGCACCTTGGAAAAATATTGAAATATTAAGGGCTTTAAACCTAAAACGTTTGGTAACCACTGGTCTAGAAGGCTATTAACACAGCAGAAGGTAAGGCATTGTAAATTAAATAGAATGTTCAATAAAGGTAGAGAATTGAGCTCTGAGGCTGCAGGGGCATGATCTATACACTAAAACTGTTTCATTAAGCTAAAGATGTTTTGGTGACTATAATGTCCCTCTAAACTCTGAAAAATGTGCTGGGATAGGTAAATCTAACATCCTTGTGTGTATGGTATTTGTGTTTAGAGAATCTGTGCTTGACCTTTTTCTTGGTTTGTCCCACATAGACAAGTCCACATAGGCGTTTCAATATACACACAACAAAAGTTGAGTTACACGTTGCAAATTTTTTAATTTAGTATTTTTTACAGTTATGGAGATGGTGTAAGACAGATGCAGAAGGGAAAATTTCCTTTCTTTGTAGTTATTTTATTTTCTTGGCTTTGCTTGAATCGCGTTGATCCGCGTCGTTTGGCGCATTGTCATGGAGACGGGTCTGTGTTCATGCGTGTCTTGGATACACTGTTCTGAGGTTTACGCATGTCACTGAGTTGTGAATCAGGTGAATCTGACTTCTGGATCGCCATGCACCACGTTTCGGTGGGTCATTAGGCCTGGTGTTGGGGCATTACTTCCGGGTTTGCATGGCAAGTAGGCTCAGGCATTCTAAGACATTTGTACGTGATTTTTTAATGATTTCTATTAAAATTACTTTTATTGATTTTGCTCTAATTAAATGTGGTTCTTACGGAGACTAATTGACTTGACAAAGATCTCAAAGTGAGACCGAAACATTGTCCATGTAATCCTTAATCTAATAATCTAATAAAACTGCATTAATAAGGAGCTGGTGTGTGCCCATACCAATTTATATGTTCTACATATGAATTGGAGAGTTTGCCGTCTCCGGTGAGAGTGCACCAACTAGAACTTCGTTTGATGTACTGTCCCTCTTTTCTTTTTGATGAGCATTATTAATATTTCCAGAAGTACTAAAACAAAGGTAGTATTCTTATCAAATATTTATGTATTTATTGATTCATTTATTTCCATGTTATGTAACTTTATACAATAGATAACTTAGCTCTGCCACTACATGTTTAAGCTGATGAATCCTAATTGGTAATTAGGAGATTGGTAACAAATGGATGTGCTAAAATGTCAGGTTGAATAATTTTTCAGATTCCATTATTTATCTTTAAGCGAGCCATGCCCCCTTGGACTACACTTTCCACAGAGACTACCTGCCATCACCTATAATGTTTAGGGTTTGGGGGCCATGTATTACAGCAACCAGCCTGGAACACGAGAACAATTTTCACTCAAACTCACCTCATCCTGACCATCCAGTTCTCAAGATGGGTACTTTTTTCTCTTATAACCCCAAGCTGGTGGCCATAAATGGCATCTATATTATTTACTTTATATTGCACAAGTATGAGTGAAATTAAATTTTTGAGCTATGTTTCAGTCACTTTTTTGCTTTATAATTAGTTTTATTCTACCCCTAAAGCATCATGGTGGGAAAAAGTCATGGTGGGACAAAGTCCAAAAAAGTTAAACCTTATACATCATGTATTGGTGGGAGTGATAAGTCTCTGGCCTTTAAATCGGTATCTTGTCCTGGAGGCCTACAGCAGCCCTTCTCTCTCTGGTAGATGTTCCATGTGAAATCCCAGCCTCTTTCCTGATCTTGTTTGACTCAGGAGGGGGCAGTTAGTGGTAACCATGAAATCTCAAGATGGTGGATTCCTGAAGCCTGGACGTGACTGGCCTGGGTAGGGTTGGTAGGGGCTGTATAGGACCTAAGGAAAGAGAAAGTAAATAGCTTTTAGAAGCCTTCATAAATCTTGCGTTGTAACTTGCAATAAAGTGTGTTTACTTTGAATCCTCTTTTTGCCCTCTTTTTATTACAGGCCTACTCGTACGTTGGTTTCCGCACACCTCAACCAACTTTGCATCTCCTTCTACATTCCATTACGTATTAGAAATTTCGAGCACAAGTTAAACAGTCATTTGGCCTGAATTTGTGGGAGGAGTTATGGTCCCTATTTAAACTCCTACCCCCCTACTCACCTTTGCCATTCAAGCTATTTGTCCCCACCCACCTGCACCCATCTATATATACATTTAACCTTGGTGGGCCCTCTTTTTATTACAGGCCTACTCGTACGTTGGTTTCGGCACACCTCAACCAACTTTGCATCTCCTTCTACATTCCATTACGTATTAGAAATTCCGAGCACAAATACATATATATACACATATATATATTGCAAGCATAGTGTTTTATATATATATATATATATATATATATATATATATATATATATATATATATATACATAATGTAAGTTGACATCTTAAGGGAGTTATTTACTAAACTCTGAATGGCAGAATTCAGGCCAAAGTGTCTGATTCTAGAATTTCCTGATTCGCTATAGTCACAGTGTGGCTATTTTAGCTAAAATTCGGCAGTTTGGTTTCACAATCAAAAACCATTTGAGCATTTTCCTGCTTATTTACATTGAGCAACGGAGTTTTTCCTAATATTGCTTGATTTAATTTGCAGACCTTGTTTGTAATCTATTTACCTCCATAAAAGATGATTTACTATATATAGTCTAGTGTCTCTGGTATTCTCTGCAACACGAGGCCCTAGAATTAACCCTTTCCGTACCAGGCAGTTGTGCAGAGTGTGGAGGAAAGCCAGTCCTGGAGATTTCCTGCGGATTGTGAATTAAGACCATAGGTAACAAACAAACGGGAGGATTGAAAACACAGCTGGATGAATGAACAATGCCACAAGCGGGATATCTGTGTTTACAAACAGAACACATCTGCGGCTGGAACAATGGGCCGATCGCAGTGCCAAGGCTATCGTTTCTGAAGGATGGAGAGGAGATAAGGCATTTAGTAGCTGATAAAAAATTGGGTTCAGGGCACAGCTGCTTCTCTCTGTTTATTTTGGAAAATCATATTTACTAGAGAAAGTATAAACTTAGGAGTGATATATATGATCATTAGGTCATCACTCCATACGGCAAAGTTGTTGTTTTTTCTGCATTTTTTACTAGTTTAATTATTTTTTTTAGCAGTTCTTGTATGTGACTATTACTCTTTGCAAAACATAACTATTAATCATTGTTATTGTAACAGAGAGAGTGGTACATAACATAGGTATTGCTGCAGACAGGGCTATTTGATATATATATAAATCACAGTTGTTGTTGTTAGAGACAAAGATATAAATTATTAAACATATAATTGTTATGACATTTGAGAAAACCTATAATGGTGAAACGCGTAATGGTTATTTATATTGTGTACTTTAGATCAATTAAAGGTTTTTGGCTACTTTACTGTGCCAATTCTCTTTTTATTGTATTTTTATGCACTTTTAATAGTTTTACTTTCCTGGCTTTTTACTACTGTTCCTGCACTAAAAGAAAGGCCAGGTGGGAATCATACCACCAATGCGTTACAAATAGAGCAGTGTTCCTGCTCTATATCTGTGAGTATTATTTTAGTTACCTTTAGTCACTCACTTACCCATTTGAGAGCACTATTGTCGCCTCTTTTATTTCCCTTTGGAGCTTTTGATGACCAGACGCACTCCCTCCACATATCCTAACAGCGAGGATTATATCACTGTACACCCTTCACACCAGAGCTGGCCATAGCTCTTTTAAATGTGAGTTATTTACCTTCTACTACTAATTTACTCGTTGGATTTTAGACGTACTGCACTACTGGCTGCCCCTGTCTCTTTGTTTTTCATATATGTGAATACTCTGAGACAATAGGGCGTCCCCATTTCTACTTTAAAGTCTACTCATCTACATTCCACCAAGTACTGTTACTCTAGTGAGACTCTTATTGGACTTTTTTAACGTTATTTTATTTTACTTTCCTGCTGGCGCAGCCCTTCCCCATTTCTTTGTATTTTCTCATATGTTGAAGGATTTGAGGGGTCTCCTTTGATTGGGTTGCTGCCTACCTACATATTGTTTGTTATATTAGCGCGGATTTCCTTTTGTATTTTGTGTATAAAAAGATAATTCACTAAAGTTTGAATTATAGGGAATTCAAAGTGATTTTAAATGTGAATTAAAATTTTAGGCTAAATTAGCCAACCTGAAAACAAAACTGGTGAAGAAGAACATAGTTCGGAGTAAACGCGATTGTCCAGTTTCCCTGACATTATTTATAATTTCAGCTACAAATGCTAGGAATTGTGGGATGCCAATTGTGTCATTGAGGGTGAAGCAGCCACTCTGAGGCTGGAGGGGTTACAAGGTGCATGTCTTAATCAGGACACTAATATATAATGAGCTGTGTTTGTGTGAGTTCCAATGTAGAAACAGCCGAAAAACCAGGGAGAGAAAAAACGCCCAAACTGTACAAATAGACTTAAAATCAAGCACCAGCTTCATTTAAGGCACCAGCACAATGCAGTTACGCGTTTTGCGTCTCATTGCCGCTTTATTTTAAATGAAGCAATAAAGATTCTTCACTAGTGATGTCCCGAACGGTTCGCCGAACGGTTCGCAAACGGTTTGTCACGAACGGTTCGCCGCGGGCTCATCATTGAGTAAACTTTGACCCTGTACCTCACAGTCAGCAGACACATTCCAGCCAATCAGCAGCAGACCCCCCCTCCCAGACCCTCCCACCTCCTGGGCAGCTCACTAAGAATGCAGCTTCACAATGAATGTAAAATGGATGCTGTCCAGGAGGTGGTAGGGTCTGGGAGGGAGGGTCTGCTGCTGATTGGCTTGAATGTGTCTGCTGACTGTGAGGTACAGGGTCACAGTTTACTCAATGATGAGTCTGTGTGGAACCGTTCGTGGCGAACCGTTCAGCGAACCGTTCGGGACATCACTATTCTTCACGTTAAATTTATTTTCACAGTTTGGGCGTTTTTTTCTCCCTTCTTTTTCTACTGCTCGTACATTATTCATAAGTTGTAATACAGGTCCAGAACCTGATATAGCCATGTGATTGATTACATTATTTTATCCCATAGTAGCTCCAGCCAAACTTATAGCACATTGTGTGTGTAGGTACCTTATTTCTTACTTACTTTCTTACCTTCTTTTTTTTTTTTACCTATATTCACTTTATTTACAGCTGCTAGCACACAGGTTCTTATTAATAAATAAAACCCAAACACTCCAGTTTTAAACTTCCTGCCAGCGGCGGCCTCTTATCCTGTTGCCTTTCCCTGTCCTACTTGTTGAAATTTAGCCTGAGCCAAGAATCCGTTTTTAGAGGAAAGCGTGTTGCCTGTGACGAGAGATAAAAGAAGTCACGAGATAAACCGAAGCAAACATCATTTGTAACCGCGCTGCTTATGTAATCAGGGGGCCGGGACTGCCTTGTCACTGCTAAAACAGCTCTTAATGTCCTCGTTAGGATTTGTTTTTGGGCGGCAGAGAACTGAACAATAAGTTGGGCAGCCCACCTCTTGGGAGCATAGAGTTAATCACATGATATTCGCAATAACTACAGAACAATGAAGCAAAAAAAATAATTTAAAGAAACAATTGAACCATTGTAAGTGCGGAGTGTTGGGGTTAGACTTTTGCTTATTTTTCCAGCAGATACTGGCTGAGAGTGATTGTAATTTTGGTCCTGTGACAGTTGGAGTACAGTTGGATGGACAGCATGACTGCAGCAAAAATGCTGCGGGTGCTAAAACTGGCATTTACACATTTTTTGACCTGTAATTGATTTGACCGTGGATATGTTAGCAGGAGCCCTGAAGGGAGAACCTATAGTCCCGAAAACAACAATTGTTTTTTTTTCTAAAAATTAGGCTCCCTTCTATTATTGTGACCACTGTTTATCTCCCTTTGTTGAAAAATAAAGGTTAAATATCGGTTTTCAGCGCTGAGACTCCTTTGCAGTGTGCCTATTGATTTATTTTGCAATCTCATCCAATCTGATGCTTCTCGTAGAGAAGCATTGAATTGGAGATACGTACACTCAAGCAAACACCACACTATTCCACTATCCACCACACTCTTCCACTATCTGCAGTACTTGATTCCAGACTGGAGGCTGACTTGGTCCAGGAGGAGAAAGCGCCTCTAGTGGATGTCAGGAAATCAGCCACTAAAAGTGTATTTAACCTTTCAATAAAACATTGCTGCTTCTACAGACTGGCAGTGTTTTACATTGAAGGGTTACAATGACAGGGTAACTTTACTGGTTCTTTAAGAATCGAGATACCAAATCACCAGAACAGAACACATGTTAAAATGCACTGAAGTCTATGGAGAGTTGACTAAGGAAACACTGCAGTGCTGCACTGCGATTGGCTCAATTTGTGCCCAGCCAAACACACTATATGTGAGCTACAGACCTTAGGGATATATAAATGGGTCTTCGTCATTTTGCTCCTGTGGGGTTTATTTTTATTAGTTGCTTTTAATTTTTTTTGTTTTTTTATTTTTATTTTAGGAACCCATTTCCAAAATGCCAAAGAAAAAAATTCAAAAATGGCAAGGCTTTAACCAGAACGGATTTAGGTTCTTAGCTCCATAAATACTAGAATAATCTTTAGCGGAGAGGGCACTTGGAGTATCCCTTTGAGGAATTTAAAAAAGGCACCACTGACATTTAGAATATTCCCCTTGGAGCGTTTTGAAGGATCTCTGTAATATTGGTGATTATAAATGCTTATTTCTAATATAAATCCAACCATGGAGAAATGTCACAATTCTATCTACAACCCAAAAAAAAAATATCTCCTAATTTTCATGAAAGCATTGCAAATAACAAGACCAGCACACCAACCGGCAAAGTGTGTGACAATTAGCTGATGAGCACGTAGACGTAACAGTGTCTCAAAGAGAGTTTACATGAAAAAAGTGTTCTAAATTGAAATGTAAAAAAAAACGAGAAGTAGATTCTTCAGAATTATTTATCATAATTGTGAATTTCTACCAACACACCCTTAAAAAAAGAGCTGGTTGTTTTTCTTGGCTTTTACAATTGCCATCCACAGAGATTCCGTTTGGCAGCCGTGAGGAATTTAGTCCCCTGTCCATGCTACATCTAAAGCACAAATCATTTCCATCAACCATGCCTGGGGATGCTGTATAAGAATGCTGTCTGGTATTCATACAGCAATATTGTGTCCACTGTCTGTGTCTAGGATTCCCCTTGCGCTGTATTTTGGCACAAGGGCCTTCTTGGATGTACATTCCACCTGTAATGAGCCTGCACAGGGGATAGTAAGAAGTGAAAAAAACCTTGAATATCTCTAAAACCCTCCTGGCACGAGAGAGTCTCGTAAATGTTCCTAGCGGTAAACAGCATCCCAGGATATTGTGCAAGCATGGATTATTTTTTTCACCTGCGTCCAGACCCTATCTATCTCTGCAAAGCCGCCGGCTTTCGTCTTATTTACTTCCTTTTGTTCCTTTGTAGCGTTATTGTTTGCCACGCTGTATACATTGAAGCAGAGAAGTGTTTTTTCCTGTTAGGTCATTTGCAGCTGCTTAAACGACGAGGAGGGGGGCTATACAAGGCCATCGCGAAATGTCATAAGTGATTGTGTGTAATACTCTCGCTTTCCGTCCCTGCTCACATGGGTTTGATCATAGTGAAGTTGGCATTTAAATAGTGTAATGCACTACTGAGTTACTTCCACAGTCACGAGAACAAAGACAGATTTAATAAGTAATATTTAGGAACACAGGCTTATCGAGGTTAGTGGTAATCAGAGCGGGATTGTATACTACTACTGTACCAACACAATGGCCATTAAAGTTTTAGCTCAACAGCTGAGTCAAGGCAAACCTCTTGAGTAGGTGATTCCTACTCTAACATAGAAACATATAATGTGACGGCAGATAAGAACCATTCGGCCCATCTAGTCTGCCCAATTTTCTAAATACTTTCCCTGGCCTTATCTTATAGTTAGGATAGCCCTATGCCTATCCCACGCATGCCTAAACTCCTTTACTGTGTTAACCTCTACCACTTCAGCTGGAAGGCTATTCCATGCATCCACTACCCTCTCAGTAAAGTAATACTTCCTGATATTATTTTTAAACCTTTGTCCCTCTAATTTAAGACTATGTCCTCTTGTGGTATATTTTTCATCTTTTTGTGAGTCAGAAAAGGGTATTTTTCTGAATCTCTATAAATTAATTAAATCCTTAAAGGGCACACATGGGGTGAGTGGCAACACTGTAAAACAACTGTGTATAACAAAAGCAAACAAAACACACAGAAAAAAGTCCTGCACTCTAAAATCCCACTACTCTTGGACAGCCACAATGACTATAGTATACATCAGCCCAAATGCATAAAACAAAATCCAAAAATGTAATCCAGCAAGTGAGTTTACACTTTGATAGCCATCTCAATACCAGGGATTTGGGATTGGGCGCAGTTAATTTATAGGGTTTTGTTTTTGGATTAAAGGTTCTACTGTTAGAAATTTGCAGTATTGGATTCAGATGATGTGGTAGACAGTGGTAGATGGGGTGAGTATGGCATAGAACCAAAAATTACAAATTAATGATTTAGATCAGTGATGGCAAACCTGTGGCACGCTGGGCCCTCTCTGTTGGCACGCAGCCATAAGTCGCCGGGAGAGGGGGCCGCTGGCTGTCTGCAGAGTAGGCACCTGCCTGCCCAAAACGGCAGGCGCCTACTCTGCTTCCGTGTTGGAAGGACAGGGGGAGGGCTCTAGGAAGCAGCTCTCCTGTCCTCCCGTGCAATGCTGTGCGGAGCATTGCCGCGCGTTACCATGGCAATGCTCCACCCAGCATCGTGCAGGAGGACAGGAGAAGGGCTGCTTCCTAGCTGCGAGAAACATACTTACCACCATCAGATCACCGGGGATGGCTGTGTCCCCCCCCCCCCTCCTTCACCAAAGGTAAGAGGTAGGGAGGGGGAGGATACAGAATTAATATATCTTTTTTTTTAAATGTATTTTCATTCATTGATTCAATTAATCTCTATGAGGAGATGCTGATTGGCCAGGGCTGTGTTTGAATCATGCTGGCTCTGCCCCTGATCTGCTCCTTGTCAGTCTTAGCCAATCCTATGGGGAAGCATTGTGATTGGATCAGGCTACTAATTCTGATGATGTCAGCAGACTGCTTGTTTTTTGTTTTTTTTAGGTAAACAGCATGCAGAGTTACAGCTTCTGGCTTGAATACAGTAAGATTTTGCTATATTTAGGGAGGCATGAGGGGCCCCGGGGGGCTAGATGGTGGTTTTAACACTATAGGGTCAGGAATACATGTTTGTGTTCCTAACCCTATAGTGATCCTTTAAACCATTTTGTTTCTGTTTATGCAGCTCTAGCCACACCTCCCCTGACACAGCCTGCATGAAAATAAAATGATTTAACTTCCAATCAAATGTAACTTAATTTAAAAGTTTTTATCTCTTGCTCTGTAAATTGAACCTTAATCACGCACTGGTGGCTCCTGCAAGGTCTAGAAGGCTATCAACAGATCAGGAGACAAAAAAATTCTAAATTAAACTGGATTTTCAATAAAGGAAGTGTAAACATTAGATGACTATTTACAGGAAGTGTTTAGGGAGGCTGTTTAAGTCAAATGCAGGGAGGTGAAACTACGGCTGCATAAACAAAGTGATTTAACTCATAAATGGTAGAGACTCGAATAGTGAGACTGCAAGGGCACCATCTATATATCAAAACTGCTTCATCGCGCTAAAGTTGTTTTGGTGACTATAGTTTCCCTTTAACTTCTTGATCGCCTCATTTGTTTACCTTATTTGCTGTTATATCAATACATCAAAATTTTAAAGCTCTATGTAATATGCTGGCATTATATAAATTCTAATAAAAATAATACTATTAAAGGGTTACTCATACCAACATGATCACCTCTGCATTTAGAAGTAGTCATGGTGGTAGGAGTCTGTATGTGCAGCGTTTCTCCTAATAACATTGCACATACTGAGACATCTGCACTTTTGTGCTGAGGGCTAGTTGCATCTCTGGCACACATGATTTAGCATGCCCAGAACTTTGTTCTGGACTGCCTTAGGTCACTTCTGTGAGCTTGTGCATACACTTTGAGCTGGAGGAACAGTTCAAACAAATGGTTCTATTTGAGAGGCATGTGGTTGGACCACAAGCAGTCAGTGGTGATGTCAGTATGGGAAGTTTCACAAGGAACTGGATTCCAGGTAAGTGTATCTTCATTGTACAGGGTTTATTTGAGGGGTGGACCTAATGGTAATGTCCAATTGTAGGGCATTCTAAACCAAAAATTTTTTTAAAAGGTTGAAGTAACACTTTTACATAGATGTTCACTCCAGAGGTCAAACTGTCAACCAGACAGCTTAAAAAATGAATGGCTTGTTCTTATCTACTTGATCTAAAATGTTCCAGTTCTCTTTCTGGTATGGAACGCTAAAGAAACATACAACGTCAAGTGAACAAGCACCGCTCCGGAAGTTCGTCCTATGAATAGCAAGCTCGCTCTGTCCACTGAAACCATTTCCGTCAACATGTTAGAGACCTTGAAAAAAAGAGAGAGACAGAAAGAAACAGAAGGGGGGGGTATGAAATACCAGAAATAGATTTGGAGAACTACGCTCCATTCTACCCTTTTGAGAGGGCTAAAATAGACTCCTTGAGGATGTAACAAACGTTGGATAATTCTTTTCGACATACTATCGTGGCCCCTTGGGAGCAGTTCTATGTAATTGTCTTGTTTCCACTATGCCAGCAAGAGCAGGAAATTCCATTTTTGTGGGCATTCTAACAAGAAGAATTGTGAAAGCCACTTTACAATATCAGGATCTGTGTCTGACAATCACCTGTCATGCACAAACGGGCAGCGAAAAAGTTCCCAAGGTTATCAATCAACGAACAATGGTTCCAGTTGTAACAACAAATCAGAAAATAACTGCTTCAACAAAACTATAAAATGGAAAAAAAAAAAAAAAAACAATAAAAAAAACTGATCTTAATCTGAGATTTCACTCAAAGAGAATAAGCTCCTAATGGCACAAATGTCGCAAACTCTCCCAATGTTTCTTGGTTGGATGGCATCAGTCACTTCCTCCTTTTTTTGATCCTAATTTTACGATTTTTCTTACATGACAATTATTGTACTTTTGCACTTTCTCTAACTTGTTGCAATGTTATTTTTACAGTTCATAGATAATCACCATCAGGGGTGTAAACTTTACTAAATAATGAATTTAAAAAAAAATATTCAAAACCTTCTTCCCCACAAGACACATTGATCCCATATATATATCTTGAGCTTTAAATATTATTATTAACCAGATAAATAGCATTCATTATATTGATTTGATTTAGGCCTAAAACCTAATGGAATTTAACCTGTTGTTGGGTTTTAGTAGATACTAGTAGTTAGTTTAGTGCATCAACTAACTGAATAGTCTCATACGCAAAATTAATATATTTTTTAGTGAAATTAATTTTTCTACCTGCGTTTCCTATCACCCTTTCTCTCCATCACCAGTAGGATTAAGCACATATATCAGCATTGTTTTATTTTGGTAAACCGTTTCAAATCTAATATAGCTTGAAAAGTTAAACTGAAGTTGCAGACAGGATGGAGAAGGAAAAAAATGAGATGTTAGATTGACGTTTAGTGCTGGCTAATCTTACAATACAACATCCATGGAAATCAAGGTGTCTCTGAATCAAATATCAACTTCAACTGCAATATTAAAAATACCTGATAATACTATCAAATTATGTGTAGGCTATAATTGCACAACACTTTGAAAAAGCCTGAGTGAAGGTGAAATGCGTTAGTGTTTTATACTATATTTTTGGTTTTATTATTTTGGTTATAAATAAAACAATTTTTTATCGAAATTTGGACGTTCTTGTTTTTATCTCTGAAGATTTTTACCTGTAGGAGTCATACTTCGGTTTCCTAGATGGGGATACCACCTAAACTGTGTAGGATTGATCATAACTTTACTGTGCTCTCCGTTGGTGAGTATACCTCCTTTTATTATTTTATATATTTTTTTTAGCCTTACAGAGAGCAAGCACTATCTTCTGTTTTTTATTTTCATTGTATACACTGGTGAACTCTCACTGTGACAAAGCAGAATGTTAAAAGAGACCACTTCTATGAAGCTGACCACCACACGCTGCTGACCGGCCTGAGGAAACATTTCCACTTAAGACCAAGACCAAGATCAGTATATCCACAGACAGAGATTTTACTGTAAAAGTGCGTATCTGGGACTGATTTCAAGCTCTAGAAGATCATAAGTGTATTTACTTTCTTTTATTTATAATCACCAGCATCGAAAATACTACACCATATTCCGTTTTATTTCTCCTCTTGTTTTACATATCGTACCATCTTTATTTGAGTTGAAGACACTTGTGAAAGCACTGCTTCCTTGGATTCCCTTTCTATAATTGCAGTTTGGCTAGTTTAGTGTTAGATATGTTAGCTACAAATCAAAACAAAGTTATTTAAAGCTACAAGGAAGTAGAGAGGTTTAAATAAAAAATATCCCATTTGGAGTTAATGCTTCTAGGTGTTACAATCAGATGGTGTACTGTTAATTTGCAAATCTGGATCAGTGACCAGAAAACTCACAATGAGCTTAAACTAATGGCAACCACCTGTGTGCACAATCCTTGGGTCAATAAAAGTAAGACCTCACATGTTTAATAATGTTTACCTATATGTTTTAAGTACTCTAAATGTACTCTTGAATGTAAGATCTAATTCTATTTATACATTAATGAGCTTTTAAGCACAAATGTATATGAGTTTAATGTGTCACGCTCTCACGCAAAACAAAATTTATTAACCAACCGTGGACACCACGGCATGAAAAAGAGATTTGGGTTCAAAGATTAACTGTATCTAAAAATGGATACTTAGGAAGTATAAAGGCCCTATATTTATCATAACCATGTGTTAGCAAAGTAAGATGGCTGCTACAAAGCAAGATGGCTGCTTCATTTTAGAGCACGTTGATTCCAGAAGCCTGAGGGAAAATATATCAAAACAATATTGTAATGGCAAGACTTCACATTTCTCTAAAGCAATTTATAATCACATTTTTACTCAAGTGTTACTAGGTAGCAAAAGGACATTTAACGTGCCCTTTACACATACATTGACTCAAGAATGGTTGCTAAAATTAGAACAGCTTATCAAGACCCTATTTTGGGCTGCGGTCCAGCTCAGCCTCCTCCCAGCAGCACCTCTGCGTTTTTGGTGGTGTGTACGAAGCATTCCAGTGTTGTGTAGTAAATTGTAAATTATCTGGTAAGATAATAGTATTTTACATGATCACCTTTTTATTCATTGTTGGTAAAAGGAAAATGATAGATCATTTTTAAAGGCCTGTCACTTGTAAAAAATGAATAAATAGCCAACTTAAAAAGAGATTTTTTTAAAAATCACTTTTATTAAGAAATCATTTGTTTCTTGAGCTGGTAACATATTGCTTGACAGGACGCACTACCCTTCTCAAGAGGCTGTTCAGTTCCTTTCAGTATAATGCTGTTGATATGAATTGTGCAATGTGGCGCTCTGTGTAAGGTTGGGTACACGGGTATTTCAAATGGGCTCTCAATGGGCAAATGAAGCAATCAACAGCAAGGTTGTCTAGTGCAGGACTAAGAGAAATATAAGCCATGGAACACTGGTTGGGCACAGTGGTATAACAAATGGGTTCTTGCTAATCCACTTTTCTTACAGCTTGAAGTTCTAGGCGATCCCATTACTTTTGTTCAATTTTTGCTACAAATTCAGCGAATGGCCCCTGTGTTTTTGGAAGTAATTACTGCACTTTGTGGAGAACTACGAAGAAAGCTCACGGATGAAATCATGACCTCTCACACCTCACCCTTCTGTCAGTCCTTACATTGGCTTCCTGGTATCCTATAGGAGTCAATTCAAAGTGCTAACCCATACATATAAAGCACTGAACAATTCTAGCCCCTCTTATATCTCTTCACAGATCCATAGGTATGTCCCTTCTCTGTCTCTCCGCTCTGCCCTTGACCACCTCCTGAACGCTGCTCGCACCCGTACGGCCAACTCGCACTTCTTACGGGCAGCTCCCTTCCTATGGAATAGCCTGCCTACTGCCATCAGACTCTCCCCTAGTCTTCAATCCTTTAAGAAGTGCCTTAAAACCCATCTCTTTAGGAAAGCTTATGGCCTCCCAGAGTAACCTCTACCTTACATACCTGTCTCTTGCTCTCTCCTAAAGGGCAGCACTACTCTCTCCTCCAGCTCTGCTTCACTCTCACCTTATTTGATTGCTATTTCCGGTCCTATTGTGTTTTATACACCACCTCCTATAGACTGTAAGCTTGTTTGAGCAGGGTCCTCTTCAACCTATCGTTCCTGTAAGTATTCTTGTAATTGTCCTATTTATAGTTAAATCCCCCTCTCATAATATTGTAAAGCACTACAGAATATGTTGGGGCTATATAAATGGCAATAATAATAATAATAATGATTGCATTTTTGATGGATATTCTTCTGCATGAAAAAAACAGCCAACTCTAAATACCATTTTTTGGGCATAAAGTGTGTACTAAACATATGGAAAATCAATTAAAGAATATTTTTTAGCTGCACTGTTTGCATACCAGTTATTAAAATCATAATATAAAAGTGTTGGAGGGGGCTTGTTCAATATTCCCATACAAACATATATATATATATATATATATATATATATATATATATATATATTATATAGAACCGAAGAAAAAAATTGTCTTCCAATATGCCATCCATTTTTGATGAAAAAGAAGAGGACGTTTTCAGCATCCCAGCCCATCATATGACATATCACTGGAAAGCCCAGGATGTCCTCTTTACAGTGCACCAGAGATTGATAGAGTAGTTCAAATAAAAAAAGGAGATGCATGTGAACTAAATGTCCTGTACAGAGGACACAGTTTAATGGGCTGGGTCTCAGGAGGATATATTTTTTTAAATGTCATGTCTTCTTTATAAACAATTAGGTCCCAATTCTTAATGCAAATTAAAAACCAACAGTTTCAACATTACACTCAAGGTAGTGACTTGATGACCTGATAGTCCTGAACTATTCTTCTTTGCTCAGGTGGTGTCAGGAATGGTTTGAGATCCAACACGCACAATGTAGATAAGGGGTAACGTATACCGGACCTTAGAATGGCCGGACTAACGTATAAACACAAGGGATAGTTAAATTCAAGCCGAGATCAAGGAGTACAGAAATCAACATAAGCAAGTGAGCCAAAGCCGGGTCAAGGAGTATAGAATGTAGAATAGTCACAAACGAACCCAAGATCAAAAGCTGAGATACAGAATACTGAATAGCACTATTGGGAACAAAAAATGAACCACAACAGGGCAATGAACCTAGCCCTTTGAATCCTTTTTATACTGTGGCGTGTAAGGATGGTAGCCACGCCCCCAAAACATCATAATCCGAACGTTTTGGCGGCATGTGACATCATTAGCGTCATGATGTCGACGACCCCTTTCCGTGTCATAAAAAGGGGTCGAGCTATTGCGGCTGGCGTGAAAACGGCTGGAAAAGGAAGAGGAGAGCTGAAGGGGACATGCAACATCATGTGAAAGGTGAGTACCATGGGGGACAACCCTGGTCACCACAGAAGGGACCCTGACAGATGTTACCAAAGATTAATTTGTTTATTAAGTAGAAGATACTGCTAACACAAGAGACACGTGAGACTGGTGCCTTTTTGCACTGGGAATTAGATCACAGGTAGCTCTGCTTCACGTCTTTGCCTCTCTTCCAGAAAAAGTAATATTGAAAACTTTATATTTAGGACATAGCGTGGATGGGGAAAATGAGACATGCAGAACTGTATGAAGACAGAACTTGTCGATGAATGTCAACAAATAGTCGTACTCATTAGAACTTATTTGCCACAACTTAAAAGCTTGGCACCATACATTAGCACAAAGCATGCCAATAGGAACATTGATTAATGTATACTTTTATAACAAAAGGGTCAGCTTATCTCAGTCTCTCATGGATGTGGACACCTCTGGGTTTCAAGTAAATACTAAGGAAATAGCATTCAAGTATCCAACTTTAATAAGCTAATACTAAGCCTTTGGCAAGTTAATGATGGCTCTCGAGAAACTTATTTAATATCCCCGTCCCCCTAGATTAGAGCTCATTCTCAGAATTAAGGATGTAAGCATGGGCTATTTATGTTCAAGGACTTAATCTCTTCTCTCATTTCAAACAAAAGCCATCCAGGATCGGCTGGAGGAATACAGGAAGGACACATAATTTAAATAGCGCTATAACACAAAAACTCAATGCACTTCCCTTAGCTAAGAGCATTTTTTAAATATTTCTGTCTGATGTGTTAATCCTAGGTGATTTCCAGCCTCAGTTTCATTAATTGGAATTGTATTTCATATCATCATTTTATAAATCAATCATTTAACCCCTTGAGGACCAAGAGCATTCTTGGCAAACATCACACTTTGGTCCTTAAAGACCTTGTGCCATCATGGGATGTCCCACATACTTGATGCAGGCATCTCTATATAACCCTGTCGATCTTAAAGGACATCTGTCACTTCACTTTTATATAATAATCCTTTCATAAAGTTTTGAAAGGAAATATATATTTTTTTAAATGAAGTATATAGGAAATATTAGGAAAATCTCATCATCCCTACCTTTAAATCTCATCCCTACCTTTGGTGAATGTGACCAGGTGAGCGGTTGGATGATAAGTGGGTTAAAAGAGCGAGTATGTTTGTGGGAATGCTGCTTATTGGTGGTGTGTCTGGGGGTGGCTGCTTGTTGTGTTGCATTTGGGGCTGTAGTGGAGGAAAAGTGACTTTAGGGGTGGTTAGTGACAAAAGTGGGGGTAAAAGGGATTTAGTGGAGATAGTAGGTATAGTGGTGGAATAGAGCTGTAGTGAGAGTTTGGGCAGTGGTGGGAGAATAGGACTGTTGTGGGGTGGATAGTCGGTATAGTTGGATGACATGTGCTGTAGTGGCATCACAGCGGGTGAATAGGGGCTGTAGTGGGAGGATAGTGGGTATAGCGGGGTGACAGGGGCTCTAGTGTAGTGACAGGGACTATAAAGGGCTGAAGCTGGAGAAAAGGTGTCATTTGTTCCATTTTCATTTATTTTGCTACTTATTACTCCACAGTATTCCTTTAGACAAATTTTTCCCAGTTATCCACATGCCTTCAAAGAGTAAGAAATATGTCCTTGGTTTCATGGACGGCAGACCAACAGAAGAACAGACATTGAGGTATGGTTCTGAAACACTGAGATATAGATGCCTCATCAGGTGAGTATTGAGAAATTGCTTGTTTAACAAGGTTACTGACTAAACTGAATTTTGGTGAAGTGAAATCTACATTTAGGCACAATAACCAAGCTTTGACTATATTTGAGTTGCAGAAAATTTCCAGGTCAGTTAATTTTGCCTAAATGTTGTTATTCAGATTAATTCACTCCAGCCCAAGATTTTGTGAATAACTAGAGAGAGTATTCGGAGTAAAAGAAGATCACTGTAGTGGTCATGCTGCCAGGGCGAAACTGTTTTAGCACCGTTTGACATTTACCTTGGTCATAACAGTTTTTCTTGAGCTGAAGAACCAATGCCAATGTTGAATGTGTTCTTGTTGTCTTAAAAATCAGCATGGCACCCAGCTGGACTCATGTTAGGGTCAAACCATGACATAACAGTCTCATAGTAAACATTAAGATGGTACCAGGCCTCTCCTGGAACTATAACCACTGCACTAGGATGTAGTGGTTATGGTGCTTGACGTGTCCCTTTAATGGAAAAAATGGCAGAAAATTCAGAGTATAAAAAGTCTTAGGTCAGAACTTTAGATGCGCTGGCCAACATAAAGAAACAGTGTGAGTCGAGATATAAGATGATAATTTTAGTCCAAAGTGAAATATTTCTTAAAATTTCAGATATTCTAGCAGTCAACCAATTATTCTTGTTTATTGTTATATGTATCATTACAAATATGAAATTTTGTTCCTCACCCTCAGGCACGAAAGCATGTTTTTGTGCGCCACTTCCATTTGTGTCCCAGTCTTTGCCTTTTAATAGCCCTGCTGCCTAGAAACTGTATGATAATTGCATAATAAAGAAGCTTTAGAGCTAGATGTATATAATTCTTTATCGGAAAACTTTTTTCCCTGACATGGTTGTTTATTTCCTTCCCCTTTCCCAGGTTGCTTCTCTGAACAAAGGTCTGGGCTATTTTAGGTATTAACAACAGATGCATTGACCATGTGCTCTGGAGATGCCTGACCTTTAATGCTTGATTCTTTACAAACTTTTGCTCCCTCGCCATAGAAGCTGCAGAGGTAAACTCATTAATGAGGTGTTTTGATAAAACCCCCTTAAATTTGCTTCCTTTTATAAACCGTGACTTTCAAAGTTAAAAAGCAGATTAGTGTCAAGGGCAAACTCAATTAACGGAAATCCAAGTTGGCAGCAGAACATTGAACAAAAGATGTTCCAACGTAGCTTACAAAGGTTTGGTAACTAGCTAAACTTTCTACACTTGGCAAGGCTTCACTAAAGAGGCATTTTGGAATTGATACATTAGTTTTTTTTAATGCATGGTATAGAAATCTCATTAAAATATATATATATATACATGGACAACCAATCCAGAATTACAAAGATACAAATGATTTAAGGATCCATATATTTCATTTTTGCAGATTTCAACAAATTATCAGTCTTCAGATTGGCCCACTCCAGGTAATAGATTGGTTAACCTGGAGAGTCTCATTCTACTGAGTCTGATTTGTTGCGCATGTTTAAACCAGGATTACAAGGGCTAAAGAGTAGGGAGGAGCTGATTGGAAATAATCAGTTGGAATTTGGACAAGAATAACCGAAACAGGTGAAAGAAAGAATCACTCTAGTATTTAATTATGTAACAAAAAAAAAAAAAATAATCGTAAATTTGGAACAAAAAAAACGAATCACATATTTGTAACGAAAAACCTAATCGTATATTTGTAACAAAAAACCTAATCGTATGTTTGTAGCAAAAGTTAACATTTAAATAGAAAAAATTGTTAACATACAAAATCATAAAGAATATTGATATTAAAAACGTTCAACTTTTCATTAAATTGCAGAATATTTTTTTTTTTTTTTAAACATAGAGGTAACCAATCATATTGCCAAATATCATGATCTATATGTTCAATCAATTAACAAACTAACTCAAACACAGGATAGACACTAAATAAGAGACAGGGTTGGGTGTTTGGCCCTGTGTTAGAGTGTGTCTCAAAGTACCTGAGATACCCCCTGCGTGCACACACCATTTATGAGTAACATTGCAAAATAATTTCCGAATAGTCCAAATTGTTTAACATGAAAGGATTGCATAGCTGAAATGCGTGGGAACTGAAAGACCACACAGACGAAACCTGAATCACCCAAAAAAAAAAGAATTGCTTATAACAACACGATTTACACATCTAATGAATATTTTATGGTACCTTCCTCTTGTTGGCTCTCTGTTCCATGGACTTCCCAAACTAAGCTGTAGAATGCAACGGGAACACGGATCTTACAGACAGCAGAAAGTGTTCAGAATATGTGTTTTAGAATTTCATTGGGAACAAAGAGCTCTTCCTTGCCCTCAACAATAAATTAACCATAATCCTTTCTGCCAGTGATCCACCGATAATCCAAGATATTAAAAAGCCATTGTTAAAGGAATTCGACACAACTGTATATTAATATAAAAAAATATATATATATTTTATGAAATCTGTCAAGTAGAACATTTGTGGCACATTCTCTTTAAAACAATATATGTCTATGAAAGAAAATATTTATTTTTTAAATTTTATTTTTGCATATAAAGTAACCATACTACAGTAATCAAAACCTGGTAAATAATTCTCCGACCCTAAGGACAGTGCTTTCTGGATTCAGGCTCCCACGGCTGCAATTTCTACAGCCACAACTTTCTATTTCCAAGTGTTGGAATTTGCCAGGAAAATAGTAATAACAGTTTACTTTAGCATAGAGTGTGCTTACACACGTAAGTTAAAGTGGTTTCTTCTGGGATAAAAACATTGGTTCCTTTATTTCTAGGTAAGCAGCATTGCTATGATCTAAATATAATGCTAACTACTAATAATAATCTGTATTACAATTTCTAAATGCAGTTTAAAGACTTCTTTTATGCACATAGCAAATACCAAAGGAATAACACTCAGCACTTGAAGCATAGCCCTGTAACTGGCAATGCCAAATTAGGAATTCTGACTTACCCATTATCAGTCCAAGTTCTACTACAACATAGGCAGTGACAACATGATTTTTAGGGCATTAACTAGGAACCACTGGGGCCCTGGTATAGAATATCAGAAAGGACCCCATCGTCACTACCTCCAAAGCAATACAGTTGACTAGGATGTGTGTGGTGGCTATGATAGCTATGGTTGGCTCAGAGTGATATGTGTATGTTGAATTGGCTGAGTATTGTTTTTAAACTGGCTGAATATGTGTCTGTGTGAGGGCTGGCTGAGTGTGGTTATGTGTGGGGGTTTGGCTGAGTGTTACTGTATGTGGGGCTGACTGAATGTAATTGTGTTTGATAGTTGGCTGAGTGTAATTATCGATGGAGTTGTCTAAGTGTGATTGTGAGGTTCACTGAATGTGATTGGGATGGTGGCTGAGTATGACTGGGATGTTGGCTGAATGTGATTGTATGTGGAGTTGAGGCTGCGAATGTAATGTTATCATTAAAAATTTTTTTTACCTGCTTACCCTGTTTCAGGGAGATGGGGTATAATCCTTATGGTCCTTGTACTGCTGTCTGCATCCCTGTTGATCCAGCGGGGGAGTATCTGGTCTGCACTTCCGGCAGGTACAGACCACATAAATGTTCTTCTTATGCAGTGAGTCTGAGAGTTGTGATGGTAACCTGGTGGCAGCACTCAGACTGATTCAGTAAGAGCCAGTAAAAGTGCTCCCTGCAGCAATTTACTTAGTATATTGCCAAAATGGCATTAGACTAAATTCCGGTGTTAAACATAGAAACATAGAATGTGACGGCAGATAAGAACCATTCGTCCCATTTAGTCTGCCCAATTTTCTAAATACTTTCATTAGTCTCTGGCCTTATAGCCTTATGCCTATCCCACTCATGCTTAAACTCCCTCTATGTTAACCTCTACCACTTCAGCTGGAAGGCTATTCCATGCATCAACTACACTCTCTGATATTTTTTTTAAACCTTTGCCACTCTAATTTAAGACTATGTCCTCTTGTTGTGGTTTTTCTTCTTTTAAATATAGTATCCTCCTTTACTGTGTTGATTTCCTTTACGTATTTAAATGTTTCTATCATATCCCCCCTGTCTCGTCTTTCCTCCAAGCTATACATATTAAGTTCCTTTAACTTTTCCTTGTTAAATGGAAAGCCCCCTCTAGCCTGCCCAGACAGGCCAAACTCTAGTGCCCAGTCTCAATAGCAACCTGACAGATCCACCAGTGGTGCCTATGCAGTACACTAAGAGTGTGAGCACTGAAAAATTTGTCCTTCAATCAGCTGAGGAACTGCTGCAGGTCTTTCAGCAAGGACGACTTGCCCTACTGTTGCAGAATCAAAGCAAAATTATTGGCAACTGTTTGTAAAAAAAGAAAAAGTACTAAACACAACTTTTTAGCATCATTACAATTACAATAAGCTGTAGTGTTTATGGTGAAGGGCTGGATGGACCCACCAGAAATCTGAGAGAGCTCCTTGATTGCAGTCTATCTGGACAGGGCTCAGTTCACCTTTTTTTATCTGTCTTAGTTTTGTCTGTTAATCACTTGCTGGTATATATTCCTGCTGTATAACATTACAGCAGCTCATATTAGGGGAAGACATAGAGAGAGGGACACGTGGTTTGGGGGAACTGGTTAGAAGATTGTGAAAGGAGGATATTCAGAGATGAAATGAGGCAGAAGTAGAGATATGGTAGTAGGATGCGATGGGAAAGGCACATGGGTGGAGCTGCCAGTGAAGGACAGGAGAATAAAGAAGCAATTTGCAAATATAAACATCATTCACACACCTTAAACAAAAACATTATTCACACATACAATAACCCTCCACACTAAGCTGGCCCTGAATTTAAAAACATTGACATTACACACAAATATACAACTGCACTGTACTAACAGACACAGTGAAACTGCACACAAACACATTCACACACTCAAACATTCCGTGCAACTATATACCTGAACTCACACATGCACTTACGCTACTAACAAGTGGAAACCCTCAATGCTCACACTGACCATGATTGTTTGTTGTATGTGAGTGTGATTTACTGTGTGGCTATCAGCTGCCATGTGTATTGCTGTGAGTGAGTAGGTCTGTGCGTTTCAATGTGCGGCTGTAAATATGTCTGTGTTTCCTACAGTGTGTCTGTGATTCTGTGTTTTCGTGTGCAAATAGGTCACTGTTTCCTAAAGTTTCTTTAGTGTTTCCTTTGGTGTAGTTGTGAGTAAGTTTGTGTGTTATTGTGCGTCTAGTTAAGTGTTCTTGCATAGCAAGACCACTTATTGTTATCTCACATATATATTATTCTTATTATAGCCAAATTTGCCACCCTAACTCCTCCCACAGTTTTTACACTACATAGACCAAAATTTACCAAAACGTGCAGATTGTTCCCGATCGGATTGCTATTACTTTGTGGAACGTTTCGCCGAATGGTTCACGGAATATCGTCGTTCTTGTGGCGAAATTTGTCCCATAGGAATGAATGGCAAAGCTAGAGTGGGAGCTGGCAAAAGCTGAAAAATCAGGACATGATTTCTAAACTGCCACCACTCCCTTATTTTCAGGCCCACCTACACAAATCTTATATCAAAACGTTCAGCTATCCCTGCTGCCACTAAACATGTCAACGGCTAAGCCATAGTCCTGATAGTTTTCACAATATAATCATTTGTTTGCAACTAACGCCGTCCATTGACTTTCATTGAAACTTCACTCTGCAAAGCTCAAATTTGAAGTGCAATTTCTAAACTGCGACTGTGCCTTCAATGTTAATACTTCAGAGACATACTATGCATCAAAATGTAGGTCTGGGTCTTGTGATTCTCACAATATAAAGCTCTTCACTGTAGGAGTTATAGTTTTTAAGATACGACCGTTTGAAGATGGCAACCGCCAAAATACTCTGACCTGTGTCAAGCTGCAGCAGCAAGTGATGTCATAGACAGGGCCTTTTGAACACCTGCTAATGTTTTTATAAATGTATGGTTTAATGTAACTGTGCAACAACATTGCAATTGAATGTGCTATATAAATGATAACAGTTACTCCGCCCACTCCAGTTGTAGACTACTGGTGGAGGCAAGAACACTTCACACAATTTCCCCAGAAATTGTAGCTTTTCTAGTTATTAAGTGTTTTGCAAGAACACTTATTGTTATCTCACATATATATTATTCTTATTATAGCAAAATTTGCCACCCTAACTCCTCCCACAGTTTTTACACTACATAGACAAAAATTTACCAAAACGTGCAGATTGTTCCCGATCGGATTGCTATTACTTTGTGGAACGTTTCGCCGAATGGTTCACGGAATATCGTCGTTCTTGTGGAGAAATTTGTCCCATAGGAATGAATGGCAAAGCTAGAGTGGGAGCTGGCAAAAGCTGAAAAATCAGGACATGATTTCTAAACTGCCACCACTCCCTTATTTTCAGGCCCACCTACACAAATCTTATATCAAAACGTTCAGCTATCCCTGCTGCCACTAAACATGTCAACGGCTAAGCCATAGTCCTGATAGTTTTCACAATATAATCATTTGTTTGCAACTAACGCCGTCCATTGACTTCATTGAAACTTCACTCTGCAAAGCTCAAATTTGAAGTGCAATTTCTAAACTGCGACTGTGCCTTCAATTTTAATACTTCAGAGACATACTATGCATCAAAATGTAGGTCTGGGTCTTGTGATTCTCACAATATAAAGCTCTTCACTGTAGGAGTTATAGTTTTTAAGATACGACCGTTTGAAGATGGCAACCACCAAAATACTCTGACCTGTGTCAAGCTGCAGCAGCAAGTGATGTCATAGACAGGGCCTTTTGAACACCTGCTAATGTTTTTATAAATGTATGGTTTAATGTAACTGTGCAACAACGTTGCAATTAAATGTGCTATATAAATGATAACAGTTACTCCGCCCACTCCAGTTGTAGACTACTGGTGGAGGCAAGAACACTTCACACAATTTCCCCAGAAATTGTAGCTTTTCTAGTTGTGTATATGTTTTACTGTAAGTCCGTGTTTGCTTACAATGAGGTTGTCAGTGGCTCTGCTTGTTTTACTATATGTGAGTGTCAGTGTGTTTCATCTTGTGGCTGAAAGTTGATCCCATGTTTTACCCTAAGAATATGAGAGAATCTTATACTGTTGTCCTGTGTGAAACTAATTGTTTAATATGTTGTTATTAAATCTGTGACTAAAGTGGGTCTGTTTTACTTTTATCCGTATATTTTACTTGGCGAGTGTGTGATCCTGTTTGTTTTGATATGTGGTTTTGAGTAATTATATTTATATTAATGAATGGCAGGGTATTTGTTTATTTTGCTTTGTGGCTATGAGTGGGATTGTGTGTGAAATTACTTAACAAAACAGAATCTGTGGTCATGTGGTCATGTGGGAGAATTGCAAAATAAGAATCAAAAGTCTGAATTGATTCACAATGATGTACATTAATAAAACCATGTAGACATAAGACAAGGCCATACTCCCTATCTGGGGCATTGGTAGATGGCAATACCAGGAGCTACAGTGCAAGAACATACTTTGGGGACTCTCAAACCCAAATAAGTATTAAAGGAACACTATAGGGTCAGGAACACAAACATCTTTCCTGACCATATAGTGTAAAAACCACCATCTGTGCCCCTCATGCCTGCATAAATATAGCAAGCCTGAATCTGTAGCTCTGCATGCTGTTTGCCTCAGAAAAACAAGCTGTCTACTGACATCATCAGAAGTGATGGCCTGATCCAATCACAATGCTTCCCCAAAGGATTGGCTGTGACTGACAAGGAGGCAGATCAGGGGCAGAGCCAGCATGATTCAAACACAGCCCTGGCCAATCAGCATCTCCTCATAGAGATTAATTGAATCAATGGATCTCTATGAGGAAAGTTCAGTGACTGCATGCAGAGGGAGGAGATACTGAATGTTTGGATGCATTTTAGGCAGCCATGACCCAGGAAGGATCTCTAACAGCCATCTAATGAGTGGGCAGTGAAGTTATCACTAGGCTGTAATGTAAACACTGCATTTTCTCTGACAAGACAGTGTTTACTGCAAAAAGCCTATAGGCAAAGATTCTACTCACCAGAACAAATTCAATAAGCTGTAGTTGTTCTGGTGACTATAGTGTCCCTTTAAGACCCCACAAAACCATAGGCAGGCCTTGCAAAACTTCTCATTAAATGGCATTCTGTGATTAGACAGCCACAGAAAGTCTGGGCTGTGCAAGAGATCTGTAGTTTTTGCAAGCTATTTTTTAGATGTACCTTAAATGAAAAAAATGCACAACTGAATACATTAATTAGGGGTATATTTACTAAATTGTTCAAATAAAGCTAATTTCATATTAATATTGCTTCAGACCTGAAGAAGAGAGGAAAACTCTCAAAAGTTTGTATTTTAAAATACGGTATATGTTAGCCCAAGAAAAAAAGGTATCATTGCACACTGCAATAGTCTAGTATTTTGGCATCGTATATATTGTGATCCTTGTCAGCAGGTAGCACGGTCCTCTAGGGCAAAAACATGCACAGTCTTTTAATTCAACTTCATTCCAGGCACTTTATTTGTAAGTTTACATATGAGGCAGCAGCAAATGAAAACATAAATATAACAGGTTTCCCTTTAAACAAAAACCTAGCTCGTCTGAGCACTGACTCACTTTGTATATCCCTCTCTATTAGGGTTAAACTAACAAAAACATATTGCACCAACCTTATTAGATAGCAACACTCTGCTAGCTAGCCTGTTGCTTTTCTTTCTCCACTCCCAGTGCTCCAAGCCAGCCTTGCCCTGACTGCTTTCCTTTCTGCACTCCCAGTTCTCCAAGCCAGCCTTGCCCTGACTGCTTTCCTTTCTGCACTCCCAGTGCTCCAAGCCAGCCTTGACTGCTTCCTCCTGCACTCCCAGTGCTCCAAGCCAGCCTTGACTGCTTCCTTTCTGCACTCCCAGTGCCTAGTCTCCTTGACTCTCTATCTGGAGAGAACAGCCTCTCTCCTACCTGCTTCCTGGGAGGAAGCCAGCAATTCCCCCCCTTTTACCTGCCTAGCAGGGAGGGGTTTATTCCCACTGCAACAGCTCATTAACTGCAGCTGAGCAGTGGGTTGGAGACGGTCCAAAAAACCCTGGCCTGGATCTATGTCTCCCCAGAAAACCACTAAACTGTGGAGTGGAGCATTGGCCCACCCTTCTCTCTAAATGCTCCACCCCAGGGGCCCATAACAATGCTTTGTGTTGTGCAACACACAAACTACACGTACTTCTCCTGGGGTTAAATGTTATAGGCCTATCTGCCTTCACTTTATCACAATATATATAAATAAATTTTAAAAAATTATATATATATATATATATATATAAACACATACACAACTCCAAGACACACTAAGCCAACCCCATGCACTAAATCTGCCAACTTCACACACAATTCCATTTAGACAGCTCCACACATAATCACATTCAGCCAGCATTCGCACACAATCACACACAGCCAGCTCTCACACACAGAATCCCACTCATTCAACACACACAACCATCACAAACTCCACTCAGGTGTATTACTTGGGGTTGAGAGATGAGGGGGTACCTTTCTAGTTACGCCCCTAGCACATTGTATGAGAAGTATACTTTACACACATTGCCCATAGCAAAACAAAACTAAGCAAATCTTTATTAGTAAGCTGTAGATGCATGTACTAGCCTTCCAGACACTAATACAGTTCAGAGAGTTCAAACCTATTATGGACACACTCTGTCCTGAGCAGGAAGCATTATCAAGAAAAAACCTGTGCTTTCCGATAGGAACTGGGTATATTCAGAGATTGTGCTTTGGGAGCAGATCAGACCTATGACAAAGTCAACATTAAAACGTCAGCAAATCCAAAACGTAGACATTATTTTTTTTTTTAATGCTGTGTTTATAGATAATACAGCTTCATACGTGCTCTTTTAAGTGCTCTTTATTTATTTTGATTTAAAATCATCACGTGGGATTTCATCATATACCGATCTCGCTTCTCCTGTCTTCTTGCGTCTCCTCTTTCCCAAGACATCATGAGGTTACTCTAGTTAATCCTGAAGGTCCGTGAGAATCCCCCAATGTTCTGAGAACTTTTGACCCCTTAAGGACACAACTTCTGGAATAAAAGGGAATCATGACAGAATATTTACGTCATGTGTCCTTAAGGGGTTAAAGGGCATTGCTCTCAGTACCCACAAAGCTTGGCACAGCAGAGGCATCTAATTACAACGATACAAGCAGAAATGAAAGCAGTAGCTCACAACTCTTGTTTATATTATCCTTTTTGCCATATTAATATGATGCTAGGATGAAAATATATATTTACTTTACGAGAGCTGCTGACATATTGTATTACATTTTCACCATTTGTTTCTCGATCAAGTCCTTTGCAGTACTAAATGTTTTTGGGACCCCCACTTCCCTGAAACTTATACCATTGAATAAAACACTGGAAAACACCTATAATTTGTGTTAACTTTTTTTTATCATGTGATGCTCCTTTTCTTTTAAATATTTATTAAATATTTAGCAATCCAGTTCCGTCCTGGCACAGCCTGGCACACATTGCATTGGACGTGAAGAAATTGAGACATTGTGCCTGTTTCTTCTCCTCCATCTTGACAGGTGCATAGTCACCATATGGGCCGGTGGGAATTACCTTACGCACAAACCCGAAACCCCCCCAATAAGACACTCTCATATATGGGTCAATATGTCCACAGCTTTAATAACTTGTAGCATAAACAAGCATACTAAAGTTATTGCCCACCCTAACCCCCAGCCATACAACATTATAACATCTCCCCGTGTCAAATAAAAAGCAATGACCCATATCAGCATCATTACATAATAATATTACATCCACATAATGCCGGTAGGGGTATACCCAGATAGCCCTACACCCCGAGGTTCTGAGCCTCTGACGAGCTCAAAACCTACCAACATTTTACCAATAGTATAACCAACCATTAGAACCAATCAACTAATTGCCCTTCCTCTTTTATTAACTAAAAAGGGGCACGTTTCCCCCCTAACCTTCCTAACCTCAACCCCGCCGTGACCAAACGGGTACATAAACTAAGACCAGCTAACCAAGGGAGGAAGAGACCAACTCTGCCTGGTAAGTCAGCTATTAGTGACATGATTTTAAAATGGCTGACCTATATATACAAGCCATCCCCCAAACAATAATCCACCAATCACCACTAAGGTTCTGTACTACTGTACAGTATCCCTTGTACTCCATCTAGGTTGAATTTGAAGCACATGAAAACAGGTATTACGCAAAGTACAGAATAAAATACAAGTACAAATAGACAAATACACTGCTTAATGGTATTAATAAATAATCTGCTGCAATTTACGGGAATACATTACAAAAATGCCGTCAGAAAATTAACATTATAAGTGTATATTATTTTATTAATACATTTTAATAAAATATCATTTTTTTTTTGCACTTTAATATGTTTTATATTTTTTATGTATTTTTTAAAAAAGTGTCAGGACCATCTGGAGTGAAATTGTAAGAGTATAGGGACTATATATGATTATTATTATTAGTTAATATTGGTAAGACTTTTTGCTAGTGTTCCCTTGGTCCTGGGAATCATTACATAGTTTAATTATTTCATTTTATTATTAACATTTGTATATTTTCAGCTTTTTTTTTTTTTGCTATCGACTAGAGTACTAGCTAATTGCTTGTGAATTTCTTAAATGTTAACCCTTTCACTGGTGTGCTCATTTTATTTGATTGTTTTTTAAAGCAATACTGTAACATTTTATACATATATGTATTCATAATGTTAGAGTTTTGCCAGTTTTGGATTATTGGAGGCCCCTTTAAAAGTAAAAAATAAGAAGTTAAGCACACCTTTTAACCATTGTTGTGACAACCTGCTCCCGTCAGCCACCCCACCTACAGTGACATCATTACTAAGATGTTCTCTGGCCCAATCCCGATTCTCCACGAAAAAAAGCATTGGGGGCTCAAATGCAAATTCCTATTGCGCGATTGCCACGGAGAAACATCATCCAGAGGCTTTTCTGTGATAAAGTTTAGCTGCGTTCAATGTCATCATGCTGGGGGACCGCTGGGGAATGTGAGGGACTTTCAAAAATGTCACTAAAGATATTCTCAAAGCATATGTAAACAATGCCTTTTGTCTAAATCGGCAGAGTAAAGCCATTACATTAAGACACCAAGATCACTATAGTAAGATAGTGATTATAGTGCTTTGAGTGCCCCTTTAAATGTGGCGTTTATTTTGAACATGGAATGCAGTTATTTCAGGTATAGAGATTACACTGTATCCCTTGCCTTTCAACACTTCTAACAGGCTCATAAAAATGGGCATAAATGCAAATAGCGCGTCTCTTGGCTTGCACTATGACTCATATCCAGAAAGCTCTGAGATTTCATGGCAAGCCAAAGCAAAGGCACCTTCATGTCTGCATCTGGGACTTGTATGGCAGATTAGAGCAATGGACACAGAACACACATGGAATGACTGGGCAAGACAACAGTAGTACAATAGACAACAATGAGTAAAAGAAAAAGAAAAGGGCATCAGGACAAAGACAGTAAAATAAAAATAAAAGTGTATCAGGACTTTGCAGTAAAGACAGAACGTTCACACAGTGACGGAGCCAAAGCCTCGCTGACCTTATAAAGTGAAAGTGCGGCCAATAAATGATTTAGGGATCCTGGATACAAATAATGTCCAATAGGCACCACTCCCGATAAAGGTATCGGTAAATAACTGAGTCTCCAGATTTACAAAATCAACATCTATCAGAAGTAAAAGCAATGCAATAACAGAGCAAAACTGCTGAATGCAAGACCACTGCTGCATGAGCATAGGCACCAAAAATGCCAATTCAGGTGGACAAGACATAAGTTATAGTCAACCCAGATGCAGACATGCACACAGCATGTACACGACAAGGATACAGTGGGTAGTTTTTAAAGTGTTCTGAAAAGAGACAGTTAAATTCCATCATTATTTTGATCAAATTTAGTAAAGTGGTCTAAAAGATGATGGCTTTCTTAACAGTGAATTCAACCAGTTTACACAGAAATTCCTATTTCCGAAGACTGACAAATATATAGTGCCCGAAATATTAATAAATCTGTCAGTAAAATAGAAAATGCTGTATATTCAAAAATAATGGTTAGTGTGACAAACGCTCTTTGCAACGGACATTTGCCACGGACTCCTGTGGGTGTGTGGAAGGTGGCCTCCTGCCCACCGACTATAGTCCAGGTCTGAGACCCCATTCAGGACTTACCCTGCAGGGTTGCCATTAGCAGCTTTTCCTGGGTGCTTCTGGTTCAGCACTTTACCTTCTTACGAATGGAACTGAACGCTAGCTCCTTGGTGACCATTTGCGTGAGCAACTCCACGAATGGTCCTCACTGGTACTTAGCCGTGACCCCTATGGAACTAATTTCAGGCATGAGGACTTTGTGTTTCCGGGTCACCTCAGCGGTACTTAGCCGCGAATGTTATGGAACTGTTTTTGGCTAGATGACCTTGCTGTTCCCGGACAAATTAGTCAGGGGTTTTGAACCACTTTGTGAACCACCAGGACAGCACTTTTTGTAGGGAAGGTGCCTGAGACTAAAAGGAACAGCCAGGCAGAGCACCACGTATTTTGGCCGCAGGAGCTCCTGAAAGTTGACCGGCAAAAGCACCAAAAGCTCTGGAACCATATTGGGCTAGGACCATGTGAGCGGCCAGTCAAGTGAGCCCCAGTGGTGCTTCCCCTATACTGCATGGATCTGAGAGCTGTGTGGACAACATGATCACTTAGATCTGGGCTGTTTGGGGATGTTGGACATGTGTGGTTATTATGGTTTTATGATGTGTTGGGGTACTTTTTTTGTTTGTGTTGGGCTCTCTGTTCCTGGGAGATAATTAACTAACTGATCTTTAACTCAATTATCTCTCAGGCCCAGAGATTCATGGGAATGGGCTTGTATTGCATTGTTTGGAGTCTCCTTGATGGGATCTGTGCATACTTTGAAAAACCTTGCCTTATACAATACCACAGCCATGCATCATACACCCACAAAAGAACTCAACTAACCATTTTTGGACAGGAGCAAACCGAGTGGTAACCAGCAGTGGAACGGTTATCATAACTAGGTAACAATAGTTGATTAGGTAGTGAAG